TTCATCAAACCCATCAATTATAAACAGGAGCTTCTCTGGATCATTCAGTATCTCTTGAATTGTGTTTTTCGTTGCATGACTGTTGGGCCATTGTTTAGAAATTATTTCCACAATACTACTCTTCTCTGAGTCTGCATGGAGGTTCATCTCCCTGCAATGAATATAAAAAATGTAGTTAAACATGTCCTGATAAAGGTGCTCAGAGGCCCAATCAAGCATAATTTTTCTTGCTGTCATGGTCTTGCCGATTCCTGCAGCTCCTTGCAACACAACCACTTGTGGAATTAGTCCATGTTTGTCAGGGTGAAATAGATTTTCAATGGTGGCAGAAGAACTGGATCTCGTATTCATGATTTCAGCATGTTTCTTTCCCGAAGCCCAAATTTCATGCCCTCTTGCTTTTTCAGATCGATGATAATCTATGATGATTAGTTTTGAGTATCTCTCATTTAGATGCAAATATTCACCAAGACGAGAATTAGGATCCTTTATTATTTGAAATTTTATTTCAATATGCCTTTTGTAGCCTAAAAGAAGGACATAGGACATAGGACATTAGAAGTCTTTAAAACAAGGCCTGCACAAGCTATTCTATGAAGCATTTTGCAAAACACTCTATGGATCTGCTCCTTGAAGCTGCAAAGCAGTTTCAATGCTTGAAATCTTGGCATGGATGCTTGGAAGTTAACTAGACAGTTCCAGTGGGATCACTGGCAAAATGAAGGCTGGTTTATTGAATGATTTGCACGAGTACAAAAGTATGTTTTAGACAATAGAATCGTATTATCTTTCTTATAGCAAACTGCAATTTAAGTCTACTTAGAAATACATCTCATTTAAATAAATCTCTCTAACAGATTTACTCCTAGATAAGTTGTTATACCATTTCAGTCTTAAACATTTTAGAGTGTAAATTAGAAGTGATATTCAGAATATGATTTCGACCTGTAATTGGCATTGAAACCTAGGGCTGAAATTGCTACTCCAAATTCACTGCTCTGTTGGCAAATGAATTTTCAGAATCCTTTGAAGAGGTTTAAAGTATGACTTTCCTTTATTGTGATACTGTTTATTGAAAGATTTGCACGAGTACAAAAGTATGTTTTAGACAATAGAATCGAATGATCTTTCTTACAGCAAACTGCAATTTAAGCCTACTAAGAAATACATCTCAGAGAGATTTATTGAAACAGATTTACTCCTAGATAAGTTGTTATACCATTTCAGCCTTAAACATTTTAGACTATAAATTAGAATTGACTCAGAATATGATTTCGACCTGTAATTGGCATTGAAACCTAGGGCTGAAATTGCTACTCCAAATTCACTGCTCTGTTGGCAAATGAATTTTCAGAATCCTTTGAAGAGGTTTAAAGTATGACTTTCCTTTATTGTGATACTGTTTTCACTTTCTTATGTTAGACACTGAAAAAACCATCCTGGAGTTTTCAGCAGTAGGGTTCTTCAGGTGACCAATACCTCTAACAAACTCTTGCACAGTTGCAGGGGGGCAGGGGCGGGTGGTAAGACACAACCATGCAGAATTAACTTTGAACATAAATCAGTGATCCTTTGAATAATTGCTGGCTTACCGGATGAATCTGGCCTTTGGAGAGGAACAACATCTGAAACGAAAAATAGACTGGAATGTATTTATTTACTTATTTATTTATCCCATTTATTAAAACCACCACCTTTCCCCAGACAACTCTGGACCATATAGCACAAAGAAAAAAAAAAGAAGCAAATAGAAAAATTGTATAAAGGCATGTGTAGATGCATAAAAACAAAAATGTACAGATGAGCACACACAGCCAAATGGAACTGAATGCTTGATGAAATAAGGACTTCCCAATATTCCAAAATACAAAAAGAGAAGGTGCCATTTGGACCTCTGGGAGAAGCAGGTTTCATAATATAGGGTCTGCGCCAGAGAAGACCAGCCACCTCATCCAAGTCCCATGAACTTCACTGAGAGGATTAGGCACGTAGAGGATACTGTGGCAAGGCAGTGATTGTACCGTAAGAGCTGTATATGAAATCGCTAACACTCTGAATCGGGCCTGGAAGCTAATAAGAAGTGAGGCCAGCAACCTCAACGTTGGTGTTACTCTGCAATGGCAGGGCAGTCCCACCAGCAACCTCTGCATTATAGAGTAACTGAAGCTTCTGGATTATCTCCAAAGACTCTACCATTTGGTGTGTGTGTCCCAGTCCAACTACATGGTGATCAGGGTGTAGTTAAAGTCTCATTAATCCTGGCTAAGGCAGGGGCATAACTGGCACACCAGGCAAAGCCGGGCAAAGATCCACCTGGGCAAGGTTTTCACTTAATCTTTAAGCAGGAGCTGTGACTCCAGGAGCACCCCCAAGTCATGGACAAAGGCCTTCAGGGGGAGCATGACCTCATCTAGAATAAGGACCAGGACTAGAGTTACTGGAAAGCCCAGGTGCTTACTGACAAGGAACACAGTTTTGGAAGGGTTTAGTTTGACCTTGTCCTATCCCCCCCTTCAAACCTCATCCAGTCACCAGATGCCAGTTCCGGCTGTCAGGGGCATTTCTTTTCAGCTCAAGGTGCAAGGCGTACTTGGACATTGTCAGTTCTAATGACACCTCACTGTTACAATGATCTTACCCAACAGCTTCAATTAGATGTTAAATATTAGAGCAAAAATCACTGAGTTCTGTAGCACCTCCAATAGGAATGGTTGTGAAATCAGGCACACTTCCCCTGTCATTACTGACTTGAGCTATTCACTCAGGCAAGAGTGGAACCACCATAAAATGATGCTGCCAACACAAGCCCTGGCAGACGGTCCAGAGGAGACCAGGGAAAATGGTCTCAAATGCTGCCGAGAGATCTAATAGGACCATCAACCAACATGACAAATAATGTTTCCCTTTCATGACTAGGTCTGGTATATGATTGGCATGTTAATCCATTACTCTTTAACACCCCCCTAACTTTCCCTAAAAAAGGGAGGGGGGTTGAAGACTGGAGAAAAGTTGTCTTAAATTAATGATGCATAAATTAAGAAAAGGTTAAGTACATCACAGTCCTTTGGAGAGGGAACCTATTGCAATCAAATTCACTGCCCTGCCACCTAGGCACCCAAGGCTGCTGAGGTTAAGAAATCCACCGTTGCTAACATGGAAGCCACACAGGCTTCATCATTTCATTAAACAATAGTTTTAATCAAGGTCTTCTCTCACCACCAATCTTCATAGCAGCCTTTAGAATTTCTTTATTTGCAAACTCTCTAAAATGAGCTTGCACACTACCTCTTCAATGTTGTTTAGGGAATAAACTACAATTAAACTGCTTCACATATTATACTACACAAGGGGTTGGCAAATATTCTACAGCCAAGAGCAAATATTTACTTTTTTTTTTTTAAGTGGTCTGCAAGGGCCATTGGGAGGGGGCAGTGATATGACGATGCAGGCTGCCCATGCTTGTTCTAAGCGAGAAACCATATTTTATAGCTTATAGTAGTCATAATATGCCAAGCAAAGCAAGACTGAAGAAACCACATTGCAGCTTAGCATATTTTATTATATATGGAAGGGATATAGGAATTTCAGCTGGATTCCAAGACTGAAACTATTACAAAACTGTTGTCAGAAGTGGTGTTCATGGTTATAGTGGTATTTCAGAGGATATTCTTCCTACAAAAAGAGCTACAAAAGAAGACAAAAGTTTTGATGGATCCAGCCAAATTTTCCAGGGGAACTAAAAAATCCACAGATACCTTATAGAGGAACAAAGAGGAAAAGAAAAAAAAGTAGTATGAGCAAAAATGAAAAATAATGAGGAAAAATGAAAAATGAGAAGAATAAGGGAAGGGAGGTGAAAAGAAGACTGATCAAGAAGAAATAATTCTTGTTTCTTTCTTTTTACAGTACACTCTATTATGCTCTCTCTGTTACTGATGCTTTCTATATTTGTACCTAAGAGCACCTACAAAAGTCAGGAGTTCAAATATCCTCCCCTCACACTACTAAGTCAGACAAAGTAGGAGTCTCAGAAAGGGTCAATAAGGACAGAGAACTCCTCAAATCAGACTTTACTCCTGGCGATGAGGTGGACATGCCAGGCAGTTCTATGGCAACAGTGTGGAAGTAGTTTGATACTGCCTTCAGATGGTTCCCCCACCCCTAATGTCCCAGTTTAACTTGGTATTCCCTAGTGGTCTTCCATCCAGGGACTAAGAAGTCCAACTTGCCTAGGTTCTGGGACCAGAGAAGGATGGCCAGGTGCTGCCATCTGCTGAACTAACCTGTGAAGCCCATTTAAGAAAAGCCTAAATTGACTGAGTCTTTAAGACCTCCTACGAAATCTGCAGTGAGGAGGGTCCCCAGATAGCAACTTCTTCCAGAAGGAGGACAAGGCCTTCTCTCTTGAACTGACAAATGGAAAATCCTTCTGATGTCAAGATGTAAAAAGGTTGAAGTTGATCTTTGGTCTCAAATCAATAATCAATGCAGTGAATGCGTGAAATTACCAGCTTACCCCCGTTAACCTTTCTGTGGCCATGTTCTGCACCAACTGAAATTTCCAGATCGTCTTGGAAAGGAGGCTATTACATTACACCCCCTCCCACCCTAAGTTGAAACTCACAAATAACTGAGCCAAGATCCAGTCTAGAGATACAGCTGCATTTGCTTCACCATCCTATACGAGTCAAAAGCCCTTTTGGCCACCAGTTGAGCTTTCCACTTAAGGGAGAGTCCAAGTGAGCTCGCAGAGTCAGCACATATGTTTTCTGAGGAGGGCCTTTAAGACAGGCTCTAAGCCCACACCCCAAATATTCGGTTTCCCACTCATAAGATATCTGACTTGTCTGAAGGCGACCTACTGGGCTTCTAGGTTCACCATCTATTACAAGAAGGCTTGTTTGTCTGGGTCATTTGCCAGCCCCTGCCCAAGCTCCCAGATGGACTGTGGCCTGCCTCAGTGCTCCTGGGAGAGAGAATGCTGATCTTTTGTCTTTGGCTCCATGTCACATTAGATGCCCTGAGGGCTCCCTCACTAGCAACACCACCTGTAACATTTCCTTTCAACACACCTAGAAATATGGCTAGAAAAGACATGGATTTAATCCAGTTTTAATATGACCTCCCTTAAATTTAGACCTTTGGACTACTTAGTTTGTCTGAACTTGGCTTATCACTTTACTTTGACAGTACAGTAGAATCTTGTTTAACCAACCCTCACTTATCCGACATTCCGTCTTATCCGACAACCCTAAAAAAAACACAACACGCATAAATTGGCAATAAGAAAAGTGTGCCGCTTGTTTGCGAGTGTGAGTGTACTTTCTTGTTGCTCCTGACGGTGGCGCTGCAACGCAGAAATCAATTGCAACAGGCGCAGCAGATCGGGGTTTGTTTTTTTTTAACCGCACTCAATCATTACTGTGTGTTATCCGACATTTTCGCTTATCCGACGTTCTGACCGCCTGTTTATGTTGGATAAGCGAGACTCTATTGTAATAGGAAAAATCAAAGGTGGAGTGACAGAGCAGATGCTTTCTTGCTATTAGAATCTAGGCTCAATAAAATTAGCATCTCAGGTTGGCAGGCAAAACCCCCATCTGAAATCCCAGGGAATCACGGGCTGTCCAACTAGACAAGAGTCAGAGAGACCAGATTCAATAGAAGGCAACTTCTTCAGTCCAGATGGACCTTAATATCCAGACTGTCCTCTAAAACGGGAACAGTATATTATGTGATATGTTGGCTTTTACCTT